GACAATTTTGGATTCAAGCTTCATTTGAAAATGTTTTTCGATCGATTGCTTTAGCTTTTAGTATTTTTGGAATGAGTGTTGTGTTGCTCTCATTCCTAAAACAAAGAGTCCAACAGAGTCCAGTAGTTTTGTCGTATTGGCCTTTGTTATACATCAAAAATCATTTCAAAAATTTTGGTCAATAGCATGAAACCTTTTCTGAATCGTATTATCTCACCTTGCCAAGCTAGTTTCATCTCTAATAGAAAAGGTAGAAATAATGTTCTTATTCTACATAAGGGAAGAGTAGTCGACATGGTTGTGAAACTTGATTTGGAGACAGCTTATGACAAGATTGAATGGAGTTCTATTAGAGAAGCTCTTATGTCCTGCACCTTTCTTTTTGGTATAGTTGAAATATTATATTATAATTATTGAAATTATAATAAATATATATGTGGATGATAAATGAAAAAACAAAAATTATTTATCCAAAATATTCTCTTAAGCCTTATTTCTTTATTAAGGGTAATAAGAACAAAAACATAATTTATTTAAAATTTCTTAATATGTGAAGAAAATAAAAAACTGATAACTATTTTAAAATGGATGGAATAATTAACAGAATTTATTTAGATTTCATTCAGTATGGTTGTGATTTTGATTTTTTTTATTTTAGTTTTAAAATTTTAGAAACTCTAAAATAAAATTACCTGGTTTTATAAATTAATTAACTTTTGAATTTTACATATTTGTTTTAAAATTCTATACCAAATTAGTTGATATTTTTAATTTTTAATTTTGGTTCTTAATTGCTAATTTTGATTATTTAAATTTTAAAAATTAAAACCAAAACAAAAAATTCAAAACCACAACCATACCAAAAAGAGCTAAAGTTAACCAAAATTTTTAAATCCTTAATTAGTAATCTAACCATTTTAGTTAAATAAATTTTTTATTGAAATAATTAAAAAAATTAAGTTAGAACATTGGGTAATTTGAAATTAATCAAACTATATCCATCCTTTGAGATGGAAAAAGGTAGCTAGCGAGAGAAAGAGATAGAATGTTAATTGTAGAATTTTAATTTCGATAATTGTATAATTAATAATAACGAAAAAGATCACTTTTTGATT